AATTTGATGATATGATAAGTGTTAAAAAGTTCATTAATTTTATCAGTAATTAAAGCCAAAGAAAATGATTGTCTTTGATTAATTTGATGATATGATAATGTTGAAAAGTTCATTAATTTTATCAATAATTAACATGAATGTAATAAAAATAATCAGAATTTTTTTTTTTTACTTTCCATTTGTGATTGAATTTGATGTTTGCTGTATATTACATGTTTTTTCATACAAATTGAAATATTATTTCGGGGAAAATAAATAAAAATAAAAAGAGAAGAAAAAATCGATTAAAATAATCAAAAAAAAAGTTAGAATAATTATAAAATGTTTTTAATGAAATTGACAAAAAAAATAGTACCATGGTGACTTCAGAAATAGCACTTATCGTAGTGATATGAATGGTGACATTTACATCGATCGGTGCACCTCAAAATAATCATTTATAAGTTTAGTATTCTTCTTGATATATTGATTAAAGTAATAATTATAAATTACTAATTATAAAAGCATATAGGAAAGAGAAACAAAAAGAAGCTAATTACTTTTCAAAAAAATTTAATCAAATCTTCTTGAAGTATAGAATGCATAAAATGTATCCGTGAACTAATTATATCAGCATTTCAACCTTTTAATATTAACCGAATATCTGGTCAATAGGAGTATGTGGACAATAAATTTTTACATCTTTTAATATCAACCAACCAATGATTGATTCAATGATCAATTCTATTCTTATTTTTAATTAGCTTGTCTAATTAATGAACGTATAATTGGTATGAGTTACCTAACTTAATTACCTGAAAGATTTTAATTTTTATTCAAAAGTAAACGTTAAATTTTTTAAGAACATATGTATATTTGGCATAGAATAGTAAAACTAACGACCAAAATTTGGCCTAATTCTGCGGTCATTACTTGCGATTAGCTGGTCAAGCAGATGGCTAACATTCAATTCCAAGTGGCGTTGTTTGTATTTGTTCGAAGTAAGTGGATCTCTTCAAAAAAAAAAAAAAAAAAAAGATGCAAAATTTTGCAAATTATCCGACGATGATAAGGGATCGCTTAAATTATTTATATTTTACCTGTTGTGCAAATGCAAATTCCTCATAACAGTAATTGTAAGTCTTCCAGTAAATTTGAAGATTGAACTTTTTGGGAATGAGTTTTTACGAAATTTGCGGACATGAATATCATTTGTTTTGTTAGATCGAGAAAAAGCATTAAAAGATATACGAGACATCCCACTACTAATACCGCACATAGCGGGGATTAAATTCACAAGATTATAATATAAGGAGTGATATATTTGGAATACATAACAATAAGTTTTCGATATGATAAGATGATATGATAAAAAACATGTGTAAAATTTTAAAAATTCAATTTACATTTTGCAAAATATACGAATCAAACTTACTGATAGTGTACACCGTCATCTTCAGTCTTTGTCACCAATTTTGATAATGATTTCTAAAATTGCATAATTAGCTTTAGTCATAGCTAAGCATGGATGACCATTATCAGTTGTTCCAACTTTATCACTTATCACACTACTTACAACAAAACAAATTCCACCTAACTTAATAATCACAGTTAGTATTTGGAAAGACCTTTATGTATTGTTGTATAAAAAAGTTCAAATACTACAAAAGTAAATATCAGAGATTTTAAGCAATGACATAAAAATATACATTTATTAATTAACTAAGATCAAATACAAATAAATAAACCAAGAAGTCATATCTAATTAAAGTTTTAAGAAACTCCACTTGTAGTTTTCTCTGGATAATATTATGGAAATGACCGATAAATGACCATTAATTAATTAAAGCAAGTGTAAAGAACAAACTTACAGTATACGGCCTGTTAGATGTCGTAATAACATATCGAAATAATGTAACAACTATTAATGATTTATGAACAGTTTGTAAGTAAATTGAAATAATCATATTGATTTTAGTCTATTAATGTGACAAAGGGACAATGTTACAGTTCGATTGGTTAATACCATAATCATAAAAATTCAAATTTTATCTGAAATCCATTTTCTTTAATAATTTATGAAAGAAAATTGTTGACCTAAATTTGAATCTACCTGCTTGTACATACACATAGAATCGATTTGGATTGATAAATAGGAATTGCAATGAGAAATGGAATTACAGTAGGAATTGTTTACATCGATATTTTAAGCTAAGTATTGATATGTATTAGTAAGAGAAGAAAATAAACTGGAAAAAATATTCAAATTTTTAGTATGATTACTTCGAAAATCCACGATAAACTTCATCATTCAATTTGCTGCACCAATTAGTTTTAAATAAAGCACCTGTTTTGCGTTTTTTAATTAGCTTTAAATAAAGCACCTGTTTTGCGGATGTCCATGAAGAGTTTTAAAGTGGAAAAACTTTACAACAACAAACTACAAATTGAAACTACTAATTAACTCTTCGATTAATTTGTTCGAATATATAAAACAACGATTAGCTAATAAATCCAATAGCATAATTATAGGTACGTATATATACTTTACAACTGGTTGTCAACCCTTGGAAAAAAGGTTGATAACAACAGATCATTTGATCAACAGATCAACACGATCAACATCAGTTAATCAACTAATCAACAGATCAACATGTTCAACATCAATTGACCAATTGATCAACAGATCAACATGATCAACATCAATTGATCGATTGATCAACAGATCAACATGGTCAACATCAATTGATCAACTAATCAACAGATCAACATGATCAACATCAATTGATCAATTGATCAACAGATCAACATGATCAACATTAATTGATCAACTGATCAACAGTTCTAATCACCTCATTTTAACTGATCAAAATAAAGTTAATGGTTAAATTAGAAGGTAAAAAAAAAGAAAAAGAAGGAACAAGAGAAAGATTTTCTGAAATCCTGAAAAGAAACAGAAAAAAAGGATGCAACTTATGAAGGACTAGTTGGAAGGAAAGAAAAAAAAAAGGTTAGAAAGAAACAAAAATTGTTGGCAAAAAGCTAGACAATTTTCTAGGCTTCATTGAAGTCCATTAGTAATTTAACTAATGTAAGCCTGTATGGCTTATTGATGAGCAGTATTGTCATTTTGCTTTGGTTCTTCATCTCATTTTTTTTTTTCCCCAAATATTTTTTAGCCCAAAATTCCTCAGAGATTTCTTTATGCAAATAATTCACCAAAATGTGGAAAAAGGCGGTAAAGAATTGACAAAAAACTTTATTATTATCCAAAATTTTCAAATTTTAAAGAAAAATACTAATTTTTGAAAAGAGCATAATATAAGCTAGCTATAATTATTGAAGATATTGTGTATTTTTACATGCATTCTCTTGCTTGCATGCATGCATGCATGCATGTATTCAAGTTGGAACGTATATTTTATTATTCGAAAAAAAAAAATTTTCATAATTCAATTTTTTGCATATTTTATGATAATTATGAACTATTTAGATTAAACTTTTGGTAATTACAATATTAGTAATTTCTAAAAAAAATTAATTAAAGCATTTTTGGTATTGGTTTATAATTGCTTGCATCGGTAAATATTGAAAGAGAATTGTGTATTAGTGTTGTAAATCAATCATGATAATAAATATTCAGTGTTTTTGAATAAAAGAAGAATGATACATGTGCTATGGTATGTTGTAAATAAAGAGGACCGAGTGATGAGAATTCCCGAGATGTCGGGGGGGGGGAAAAAAAAAGTACGACAAAGCAATTTTTCCTTCATAATTCTTCTGGGGTTGAAAGAGGAAAAGAAAAAAAAAACATTAGCAAAATACGATTATAAAAGGGGAAAAGTGAAAAGTCGATAAAGTGACTAACTTAAATTGCTAAATTTTAACTTTGAATTTTCGACTTTTTCCATAAGCTTAATCTTTTCTTTTCTTAAAGAAGAAAATAAAAAATGAAATATTGCAATGTTTCCAAAAAAAAAAATCTTTTTTCAATAAAAATTTATTTATTTTAAATGAAAAGAAGAATGAGTCAATTATTTTTTCATTATTTTGGCAATTTTTTTGTTCTCTCAAAATTTTGAAAATTTTTTTCTCGAAATTTCAAGAAAATGCTATTGAATTAATTGATCAAATTGATGTAATCTTTATATCAGTAATAGTTTCTATGCTGAAATATCATAAATTTGATAACTATATTGGAGATTTTTCCAGAAAAAAAATTTCATACAAATTATATTTTACTTAATAATCATTATATTTGAATATATGAATCATTAAAAAACAAAAAATATGTGAGAAGTTAAAAGTTATAATAAATTTTCTTAATTCAAATTATCGAATTAATTTGATCAATGATTGGGATGAAATGAAAAAATTGAAAATTTTATTAAAATAAAAAAATATATTTTAGTAAATCTGAATTGTAAATGATACTGCAATATATGTAAAAGGATAAAAGCCTTCGATTGTAATCGATAATTGTTCATGATTATTTGATTTCTCCACGGATACTTCTTTATGGCTGAGGAGAAGCTTGCATACTCCTAATGAAGTTGCACGTTTATGTCAGAACTTACGGTATATGCTTATGTCTCCGGTAAAATCTCCCATACTAGATTGATGTCAACTGAAGGGTTAGATAAAATGTATCCATAAGCAGAATAGGCTTACTAGCCTACCGGTAATCAACCGAGGAGAAAGCCCAGACAGATATGAAAATCGTTTAGTCCTGTAAAGTCATCCATTTAAAAGAAGGATAGTCTAACAAAACCAACAATCCTGAGAATTTCATTGTCATCATCCTAACTCACTGGAGCCTAGCAGATGAATTTTAGGAGATGAAGAATTAGGCTACTTCCGCATATGCTATGCTTCAGCTAAAAAATGCACTATGGTCAGGCTGAATAAAGTCCCTTCCAAATCTTTGTTCATAAAGCCTAGCCATGAATTTGATTGCAAAAGTAAATAAAAATGAAATACTTCAATAGCCATGACTCCTTATCCTCTCAAGAAACACATTATCCGGTGGTGATAACCTGAACGGAAAACAATTACTTGGTTTTACTCTTGAATGAAACGGAAAACCTGAAAATTAAAGGAGTGTTCAGGTTACACCTGAACGTACTATCTATTTAAACTACTTCTATTTTGGACATATTTTACGAAAATATTTTCATTACTTCCCAATGTTATTTGTAAAGCCAAAGAATTAGGGAGCTATTATTTGGACCGGAAATAAAAGGACTGTCGTGAAGATGAATTGGAACATTTTTTTTTTTTTTTTTACCCTTTCTTTTATAAATGCAAATGTTCGATGGTGCAGAAGACTAGGCTTTAGGGTTAAGGATAAGGATGTACACCACCAAACAAACATATTTCTCTCCTCTGATATATGGGGAAAATACGTTATCATTGGTGTAGAAATTATATGTCAACCATTCTTTTTGAATGAAAAAAAAAGAAAAATATATATTTTCACATCAAATGTCAAATAATACAAATATGCAAATTCTAGCCAAATATATCACCCAAATGGAAATAAATCCTAGCCTGAATGTAACAAATCACGTAGAGATCCTACCTGAATACGTCAATCACACGGAAATCCTCGATAAATACGTCAGTCATACGGAAATCTTACCCAAAAACATCAGTCCTAATTTAATATGTTAAATTTATCTGAATACTTCAATTCTAGTTTAATATACTAAAAACTTACCTGAATACGTTAGTCTTAATTCAATATGTTGATAAACAATACGGGAAAAGAGCGCGTAAATTATTTGAAGAATAAAATATCAAGCAGAAATTATTAAAAGAAATTTGAAATTAATTAGCAAAAAAAAAAAGAAAATAATCAGATGGAAAAAGTCTGTGTATGATCAAAGGATCCTATTAATAATACGCAGATATTTTTGCTATCAAGTTATAGATTAATAATATATGGAAGTGGTCTAAAAGTGGACAATGATGCTCGAACTGTGACACATTCATTGTCCACTCCGAATTTGTTAGCTATCTAGTGGTCAAAGAGTGAACAATGTTGCTCGAACTGTGACACATTCATTATCCACTCCGAATTTGTTAGCTATCCTAGTGGTCAAAGAGTGGACAATGATGCTTGAACTGTGACACATTCATTATCCATTCCGACTTTTGCTAGCTATTTATCCAGTTTCAGCTAAATAATTTGAATAATTTTTGTAGATTTCTGTTTATTTTTAAGCCTAACTTTTTTTTTAATTAACAAAATCAAAAGAAGCCAATAATTGAAGCTTTTCTTTTAAAAGAATGTGCAAAGTTTTATTTAAACAAATTTTTTCCAAATAATTGTCGCATTCTTACAAATTGTCGCAATTTGTCAGAATTTTTATTTTAAAAGTATGAAAAATTAATGTTGAGCTGTATAAATGATAAAAGACTAACATTTATCAACAGATTCT